CGCGGAGACTTCAAAACTTTGTGCGTTTTTACAGTGTGTGGAGGAGCGAGATGACCGTGGAGTCGAAAATCATATCCGGCACAGCGGTGGCCAAGTGAGTATCAGTTGCCCGTTGTACAAGTGTATGTATATCCTATGTTGTTGTTGTTGTTGTTGTTGTTGTACACATCAGGACAATACGCGAGGAGCTGCGCCAGGAGGTGATTGAGCTGCGCGCATCGGGCACCCAATTTGTGCCCGGACTGCGCATCGTCCAAGTAGGCGGTCGTGAGGATTCCAATGTCTACATACGCATGAAGATCAAGGCCGCCACGGAGATTGGCATCAATGCCGTCCATGTTCAGCTGCCCCGTTCTATCACCGAATCGGAGCTGCTCGATAAGGTAGGTATTGGGCTCCGCGCGTGCCAGGCAAAATCAATCAAGTGTTATGCAATGTCTAAAAAAGAAAGAAAGGAAAAATGTTAATATAAAAGATTATTCTTTGAACTGCTAACGATTAAACACCCTTACGTACCCAACTGGTTCGACATAATGTATATAACATATCATTGAGCCATACTAGACATATACAAATTTATCATAAAAGTTATTTTATTATTTAAAAACAGAATAATAAAAAAAATCAGGGACTTGTTTGCGTATGTAATTTTGCCCATATCAAAAATATTTACTTTATAAATATGTCAGCTTCAATGCGTTACATATTTCATGACAATACTATAATATAATACTCTTTTTGTCAGAGTATTTAGACAAATTACTCTCATTGAATTAAACCCTTAACCATTTCTTATCAATCGCACGTCATTCGCTGCGTCAGCTGGGCGAGCTGAATGCTGATCCCCTGGTGCACGGCATCATCGTGCAGATGCCTCTAGACTGTGATACGTCAATCGATGCTCACCGCATCACAGACGCCGTCTCTCCCGAGAAAGATGTGGACGGTCTGCACACCATGAACGAGGGTCGTTTGGCCATCGGTGACCTCAATGGTTTTCTGCCCTGCACACCGTGGGGCTGCCTGGAGCTGATACGACGTACTGGCGTGGAAATTGCCGGAGCCAGAGCCGTTGTCCTGGGCCGCAGTAAAATTGTGGGCACACCAGCTGCCGAGCTTCTCAAATGGGCAAATGCCACGGTAACCGTTTGCCACTCGAAGACGCGCAATCTGGAGGAGATTACGCGCACCGCCGACATACTGCTGGTGGGCATTGGTGTGCCCGAGATGGTTAAGGGCACTTGGATAAAGCCAGGCGCCGTGGTCATCGACTGTGGCATTAATGTCAAGCCAGGTGAGTGGGCATCGCTACAGATGAGTTGCTTTCCGCTCCCTATCAACCCAGTTGTTTACCATTGCTTATCATAGCGCTTGACCCCTGTCGATCCCCTGATAAGCATGGAAACTAAGCTAGTTGTTTTCCAAACTCTAATATGTGTATGTTTGACGCTTAGTAAGTGAAATTCTTTGGACTGAAGAGCACATACACAGCCAACTCCGAAGATTTGTGGAAGGTTGGGTATTTCATCTTTAAGCTAATTACATTTGTCTCCTTCGCAGACGCGACCAAGGCGAGTGGCAGTCGTTTGGTGGGTGACGTGGACTTTGAGCAGGCTAAACTGGTGGCGGGTCATCTGACTCCAGTGCCCGGCGGCGTCGGCCCCATGACAGTGGCCATGCTGATGAAGAACACGGTGGTGTCGGCATCCCGAGCGGCAGCCCGTGTGAAACGCACCAAGTGGCCACTGCAGCTGCTACCGCTTAGGCCAGCTAGGCCCGTGCCCAGTGACATTGAGATTGCGCGCGCGCAGCATCCCAAGAATATTGCCCTGCTGGCCGAGGAGATTGGCCTGCTGCCAAAGGAGGTGTCGCTATATGGCAGCAAGAAGGCCAAGATCTCGTTGAGCGTTTTGCAGCGTCTGCAGGAGCAGCGGTCAGGCAGCTATGTGGTTGTCGCGGGCATAACACCCACACCCCTTGGCGAGGGCAAGACCACGACGCTGATGGGCCTGGTACAGGCGCTGGGCGCGCACAAGCAGCGCAATGTGATCGCTGCACTGCGTCAGCCTTCGCAGGGACCAACGTTTGGCATCAAGGGCGGTGCTGCCGGCGGTGGCTACGCCCAGGTCATACCCATGGAGGAGTTCAATCTGCATCTCACGGGCGACATACACGCCGTTGCGGCGGCCAATAACTTGGTAGCCGCACAGCTGGACACGCGCATCTTCCACGAGGCCACTCAATCGGACACGGCGCTCTACAATCGTCTGGTGCCGCGCATTAATGGTCAGCGCAAATTCAGTCCCATACAGTTGCGTCGCCTCAAGCGTCTGGGCATTAATAAAACGGATCCCGATACGCTGACAGCGTCGGAATCCGCGGCCTTTGCGCGGCTCAACATTGACACCGACACGATCATGTGGGAGCGCGTGGTGGACATTAATGACAGGTATCTACGCGAGATAACCATTGGGGAGTCGCCCACCGAGAAGGGCTTGAGCCGCAAGACCCGCTTCTCCATAGCGGTGGCGAGTGAGATCATGGCCGTGCTGGCACTCTCGTGCAGCCTGGCAGACATGAAGAACCGGCTGGGACAAATGGTGGTGGCCTTTGACAAGCGCGGACAGCCGGTGACTACCGATGATCTGGGCGTCACTGGCGCATTAGCTGTTCTCCTCAAGGATGCACTAGAGCCAAATCTGATGCAGTCTCTGGAGGGCACGCCCGTGCTGGTGCATGCGGGTCCGTTTGCCAACATTGCCCACGGCTGCAACTCAATAATTGCCGACGAGATTGGCCTCAAACTGGTGGGCACCGAAGGCTTCGTCTGCACTGAGGCGGGTTTTGGCTCCGATATTGGCATGGAGAAGTTCTGTAACATCAAGTGTCGCAACTCTGGCCGCAAGCCCGATGCCATGGTCCTGGTGACAACGGTGAGAGCCATTAAGATGCATGGCGGCGGTGCCCCAGTCACCCCGGGCACACCACTCAACAAGCAGTATACGGAGGAGAATCTGCAGCTGCTGGAGCAGGGCCTGCCCAATCTGTTGCAGCACATTGCTAACGGACGTGCCTTTGGCATGCCCGTCGTTGTGTCCATCAATGCGCATGTCGCCGATACAGCGGCCGAGCACGAGCTGCTCAAGAAGGCCGCTCTGCAGGCGGGCGCTTTTGCTGCCGTGGTGTCCACCCACTGGTCAGATGGTGGTGCAGGTGCTGTGCCACTCGCCGATGCCGTCATTGAAGCGTGCAAACTGGAAAATAAGTTCAAGCTGCTCTACGAGCTCGATCTGCCGCTTGTGGAGAAGATGAACACGATCGCACAAACCATGTACGGTGCGGGCAACGTGGAACTCACCCCGGAAGCCATCGACCAGGTCAAGCGCCTCACCGATGCAGTAAGTTGAAAGGTTTTCTGTTATTGCTCTTGTCTTAAATGTTATTTTTGACCTTTCAGGGCTTTGGTAAACTGCCTGTCTGCATGTCTAAGACCTCCGGCTCCGTCACTGGCGATGCTAACATCAAGGGCGCACCCAAGGGTTTTACAATTAAAGTTCAGAGTGTTTATATCTCAGCTGGCGCTGGCTTTGTGGTGGCCATGTGCGGCGATATTACCAAAATGCCCGGACTCGCCACTCGCCCCGCCATCTACGACATTGATCTGAACACCGAAACTGGACAAATCGAGGGATTGTTTTGAAAGCCCGCAGCTTGGACAATATATTTGGTGACCACCTGCCAGCATCATTTTATGCAGCTGAAAATTTATGTTTTACATTTAGAACCAACTGTTGGCAGCATCATGGGCATTTTATTTTTATTTTTTAAATCGGAAAAAGATATTTTTTCTATCTGAACTGTTGACGTTTTAACAAGCTAGGTCTTAATAGCAGTTGAATAAATACGTATAATAATTGGATCTTATTTAATAAATATATATATTGTCTGGTCATGCCTGAAATTTAAGGCTTTAAGGTCTTAAAGCACTTCTACTCCGAATTTTGTTAACAAATTGGATTAGATAGCCGTGTTGTATCTAACGCTTGAAGCTTGGTTGAAAGGAAATAAAAAGGTGGAATTCTGGGCTCATACCGGTTTAAAGACTATATTTAATGCACTATAATACAAAAACTAGGAGCTAAATGCCTAAACAGAATACCGAATTCGAATAACATTGGTGATACAATTTGGGTTTTATTTTATTATTTTACATTGGAATAATCCGTTTGCGAACAAGAGCCAAAATAAATCTTGATCACAAGCTTGTATCAAACAAAAAAGCAAAGAACCAATTAATCCGTTAGCTTAAGTTTCCTACAAAATAATGAGCATTAGTAGCACATATTATGCATTAAACCAGGCAGGCAAAAACCACGAATTTAAGCACAGATCCTCGCTGTGTAGTTGCTATAACGATTTGACATGGGATTTTGTTCGTATCGATTTATTTACTTTAGTAGTCGGCGCCATATTCACAACATTCAATGTAACTGTCATTCGGATTGAAGAGTTGAGCAACTGTTTTAGCATGTTCCGAGTGCGAGTGCGCAACATTGCCCATCCGGGCATACGGCAATTCATTTTGCGCACTGCCGTGCTTAACTATTTAGGTAAATGCTTGCAATTACAGTGGGACGACTGGCAGAATCAGCGAATGCATTTGCGTACACTACAACACGAGGGAGCAAGGACATCTGAGTCGGTTGCTGAGGATGCAGTAGTTGATGCGGCTCGTGAAAATCTGTCCCAGGCTATCGATGAACTGGGCAAGAAAGTTGCTGGCACACACAAGCTGTTGCAGCGCGAATACAACGAGCTTTTTACATACATGATGGACAAACGTGATCTATGGGACAGTCCCGAGTATTTTAAGGCCAAGACGGCGCTGGGCACGGCCAATCACAACTTGAGAATGTACATGTCCGTTGATAAGTGAACAGAAGCAGTTGCCAACAATCATTTCCATTCTATAAATTAAAGTTTTAGCAAGATGATAACAAAGTTATAACAATATGAACTATTTGTAAAATGGTATTTCCACACGTCCAGATTTGGTGTTAACTGCCTCCCAGCAAGTGCACGTAAAGGTGGAACGATCCATGTGATCGGTGTATAATTTGCCATCCAAATGATCCATTTCGTGCTGGGCAATACGCGCATTCCAGCCGCTCAGTACCAGCTCAGTGTGGGCACCTTGTCTGTTCACACCTGAGATCTTCACACCCTCATAGCGCTCAACGTCCGCAGAGAAACCGCGAACGCTCATGCAGCCTTCAGGATGCTTGTGCTTGGTATAGTTGGTCACAGTCAACTTTGGATTGATGAGCACCTGTGGAGAAGCGAGAGGCATTAGTGTATGTTAATACTATGCATCCAATATTTCTTTTTGATTACAGTCAATGGCAGCTCGGACATTTGCCGCGCTTTGTATGACGCCTCTGACAGGTCTTGTTTTATGCTTCGCCTAAATTCCATGGCAATGATGCGCAAAGATACGCCAATTTGAGGCGCCGCAATGCCCACACAGTCGTATTTGCGCAACACATGCACCATCTGATCCACAATGGCGTGGACCTCCTTGCTATCCACACATTCCGCTGGCACCACCGCTGCCCGGTCGCGCAACACGGGGTCTCCGATCTGTGTGAAGTGGCCGTAAGGCGGCATGTTCGTGCGCTTCGTTGTCCAGAGCTGCTGGTACCATTTTCTGAATGACTGTGAGGCCGCAAGGCTGGTGCTGAGGTATCTTTCGTGTTTTCCACACAGTTTATGTAGTTTTAGCAACATTTTAGGCGGTTATTAAAAAATAAAAAGTTTTAAGCGACGTGACCGTAAATAAAATATATGTATAATAAAGAAAGGGGTAGTGACTTACAGATACCCTCTTTATTTTGTTTGATAGCTTTATAATGTGCTTTACTTAGTTTATCATAATATGTTAACCAAATAATCAATGAAATTATTATTAACAATTTTTTACCTGCGACTAACTATAATATATTTAACAATTGTGTTTCAATTTAAAACTCTAAACTCTCGCATTTACCACGTAAAATAAGCCGGTTTACTTTAGCCAGGGCTGACGAAGAAATATATCGATTGTTACCGTGCGTTTTATACGATAGTTTGTTTTGAATTAGTTCGCAGCATGAATGTGAACCGTGAACCAGCTGTAGAAAAGTTTTGTTTTTGTAATTATAATTATTTTGATATACTTTTAAATGTTTATTTATCGAACGCTATCACGGCGCGTCCTCCACTTGCATTAATATGAGGCCAATTAATGCAAGTAAAGCTAGAAACGTCCATACGGTCAACGTAAACAATGCCGTTCAAATGATCCATTTCATGTTGCGCTATGCGCGCGCTCCAACCCACAAGTTCAAGCTTTGAAGGTGTTCCAAGCATTCCAATGCCGGTGACTCGGACACGATCATATCGAGCCACTTGGCCAGAGAAACCACGCACGCTCATGCAGCCCTCGGGATGCGTGTGCTGCGTATCACTGATTATCTCAATCATTGGATTGATAAAGACCTTATTTGGGTAAGATATAAGATAACAATAACAAAAGTTAAAAGATTAACCTGGTAAATAGTAATAAAAAAACTGCAACTTACGCTTAGCGGCAGTGGCGACATCTTTCGCTGCTCGTAGTCTTCGGCCGTGAACTGCCTTCGCTTGCCCTCGCGAAACTCCATTACAATAATACGCAGTGGCACGCCCAATTGAGGTGCTGCTACTCCCACACAGTCGTAGTGCCGTAACACCTTTACCATTTGGTCCACAATATCATTAATTTCTTGGCTGTCCAAACGTTCCGGTGGAACTTCCTCGGCACGGACTCGCAGCACAGGGTCACCAATTTGCGTAAAATGATTATACGGCGGAACCGTACGAGCCGTGACTTCCGTAGACATTGCTGTGGGCAATGGGAATAAGCTCTAGAGTACATAGGAGCAGATGATAACAGTAATGTAGCACCGTATCAGCTGTTTCTGTTATGAAACAGTCCCCGCTAGCAGTCTGTGGCTGAATAATATACATATACGTAAATACGTATATATATATATATATATATATATATATATATATATATATATATATATATATATATATATAAATAGGTTAATAAAATGTCGAGTATTGCTTTTGTGTATGCTAGTTTATTTGTGATATATTTTCTGTTGCTTGATAAGGCGTCTACAAATACGAGTGCATCAAGTGAAACACCAGACACTTTATACGATTTTCATTCAAACCCAACTTTACGTTTCTTCAAAGAAATGATCTTCACCTATTTTGCGTGACTTTGTGTGTTCTTTAGGCGTGCTAAATGCAGTAGTACCCCTGCTTGCTCGATCAGCAATTATACTGTTGACTGTGTTTTTACGGAGCCTGGATACAATCTTGAAGTATTTGGAAATAATGGTATCCACAGCAGGACCATACTTCTGGCTGGCCATATCCTTTTTGCAGCGCACATAGATGTCTTGCAAGACGCCACCACTGCGATAAAACTTAATCAGCTTCTCGCGCCGGCACCACTTATATAGCATATGCGGGGAGCACGGCTCGTAGATGCGATATACCTTGAAGAACTGATCGTAGAACTTGGACATTTTGCGAATCTTCATCTCGTTAATGTTGGGTATTTGCAGATGCGGCTGCCGCACAATCTTATATGGATCATGGTCAACAGAGTAGTTTGCAAAACGCACTGCGGGCCAGTTCAGGTTCAGAGTGGTGTCGTACAATATCTTTGGATGTCCTAGAATGCCGTGGGTAACATCGATCATGAACAGCTGGGGGCCCGGCACAATATACTCCAGCTCGATCTGGACAATGCGAGTGTCGGTGCCCCGATACTTGCGCTCACCAATCCACAGAATGGCCATATCCTCGTCGGGTATATGCTCCAGCTCCTGAATCAACGGCGAGACCTGGGTGCGATAGTTAACAATCTTGTTATTGCGACCATAGAGCAAGCTGCGCTCCACGGGTGTGAACTTCAGATACTCTGGATGATTGCATACAAAGTGCTCAGAGCGAAACAGTCGGTTCATCTCCATCTCGATCACGCTGTAGGCGCGCCTGTGCAAAGTAATCCATACGATCTGCGTGGCAACGGCCAGAAACTGTTCGTGAAAGAACTTATCCTTAATGGTCGCCGAAATGTTGACAATCTCCTTCATGTGATAGAACTCCGCCATATCGCCTTGGCCCTTGAGGATTATGCTATAGTTTCGTGCCACCAGCATACGATATTGACTCAAGTATATGGAGAAAATGCGTTTCATTTCATTTGTCTGCTCGCTCTGTATGTGGGCCATGTTGCCAGCGAGCTCATCCCGTCGGATCAGCACAAATTCGACCATTCGCACAAAGTACTCGAAGTAAATGATTAGAGCATGAAGCAATCTGTGCACGGCAGGCTTATGTATAAATTCAAGAAATTTGGTGGTCAGAAATTCTTTGGGCATCATAAATAACACCAGATCACGGACATCGTTTATCACAACAGTGTCCGTATCAAAAGTGGCTTGAGAACGCAAAAACTCCTGCCGAAATATCAGTTCCTCCTCCTGGTTGATTGTGCGAAGGAATTTGTATCCGTTTGTCTCAATATAGCGCTCCCTTGCGTCCGACAAGTCGTTGTGGGGCTCAAACTGCAGACTGTCGGTTTTCTTGTCCCAGGACCACTTGCCACTGTGGTACTTGGGCGCATACGTATCGGCGTAAATACGTTTCATTGTGGCCACAAATCAAAACTTTTTATTTTTTACTTTTTTATTTTTTATATTTTTTTTTTTTTTTTTTTTTTTTGTGTTTACATGTGTGTTTCGTATATAAGTGTGTGCTGTAAATATATGTGTATTAAATAAAAACGCAACAATGAAAACTAACAATTTTTATAGTAGCTGTTGAAAAATTGTCAAAATTTGAATCAGAACTATTTTTCATGCTTTCGGAATTTTGTATCTTGAATTGATGACGGTCGATACTGTTGTCTCTTTCAATCGGTTGCAAGGGTATTTTTAAAGGTCCTTTTAGATATTATTTCTTTAGTAGAAGCTATGGACATTAATGCTTTTATTAACTGAGGAATATACATATATTTGAAGATAGATTTTCAACAGCTTGAAGCGAAATTGAACAAAAAAAAACCGTCTGCTTTACCCGTATTGAATTTGACGCCATGAACCCAATCACTTATAATTCTTTTTGAAAATTTTAATAAAAATCCCGTTCTATATATTTTCTTAAGTTTCTACCTGTTTTCTGAGTAATACCTTTAATATTATTTTGTTTTTAAATTAAGAATTTTGTGCCCACATTCCAGTAATTAATAAATCCCTTTAATATCTCCATATGTACATTTATAATAGGAATCTGTACACATGCGACCGTATAAAAAAGACGAATTTGTTCTTTCAAATGTAAAGTGCCACATTGATATATACGTCTTAAGGCGTATATATCAATTCGACACTTTACAAATTGTAAAAGTGTTCGTCTCCAGTTTTTTTGACCGTATGTTTTTTTGCGCTGGGTCTTAGGGCAATGTTGGAGGTATCGTACGTACCATGTTTCACCGACTTCCGAAGTCTGGAAACGACTTTGAAATAATTGGTGATAAGCTGATCTACTTTAGGACCATATGAGGTCTTCTCCAGATCCTCTTCACAGCGTTTATAAATGTCCACATTGACATCTGCAATTGCTGCACTGACGATGCTTTCCCGGCGAAGGCACATGGAGAGCATGTGGCTACTATAGGGTTCGTAGATGCGATAGAGTCTAATGAAATGTTCATAGTGCTTGGACATTTTGCGTATATTTGTATCGTCAATGTTGGGTATCTGAAGGTGGGGTTGCCGTAAAATGTGATACGGGTCATTCTCCAGTGAGAAGTGCTCCTCGCGTACCGCAGGCCAGTTTAGGTTGAGAAGAGTGTCGTAAAGGCGTTTCGGATGCCCCATGATGCCACGTGGTACGTCTATCAAATGCAGCTGCGCACCGGGAACGATAAACTCCATCTCAATTGCGGCAATGCGAATGTCCGTACCACGATACTTCCGCTCACCTATCCATAGTATGGGCAAATCCTCAGTGGGTACATTTTCTAATTCCTGAATCAACGGCGAGATCTGAATGCGATAGTTAACGACCTTATTCTTGCGCCCATACAGCAAACTTTTCTCCGCTGGCGTAAATTTCAGATACTCTGGTCGATAAATCATAAAGTGTTCGGACCGAAAAAGTCGATTCATCTCCATCTCGATCACATTGTAGGCTCGTCTGTGCATGGATATCCATACGATCTGGATCGCGACGGCCAGAAACTGCTCGTGGAACCACTTATCTTTGATCGTAGCAGAAACTTGGCTGCTCTGGTTAATGTGATGAAACTTGGCCATATCGCCTTGGCCCTTGAGGATTATGCTAAAGTTTCGTGCCACCAGCATACGATATTGACTCAAGTATATGGAGAATATGCGTTTCATTTTGATTGTCTGCTCGCTCTGTATCTGGGCCATGTCGCCATTGAGCTCATCACGGCGGATTAAAACGAGCTCCACTAAACGGAGAAAATACTCAAAGTATATATTCAACGCATGGAACAGTCTGTTCACTGCAGGCAGGTGCAAGAATATGAGGAGCCTCTTGGTCAAAAACTCTTTAGGCATTAAGAAGATAACCAGTTCAAGTACATCAGTAGTGATCAATGTATCATAATCGAATGTGGTTTCAGAACGCGCAAACTTCTGGCGATAGATCAGCTCCTCCTCTGGAGTAATTGTGCGTAGAAATTTGAAGCCATTCGTCTCGATATATCGCTCCATTGCGTCTGACAAGTCGTTGTCCTGCTCAAACTTCAGACTGTCTGTCTTCTTGTCCCAGGACCACTTGCCGCTGTGGTACTTGGGTGCTCTTGTGCCGCTATAAATCCTCTTCATTATGGAGGCGAACAAAACGTCTTAGCTAAATTAATGACTGTTAATAATTTTGTTGAAAATCAGCAAACAATTAACATAAAACCGTGTAAAAACAACAATTCAATAATAAACAATCATCTGAGTTTTAATGACTTCAAAACAAAATCATAATAATAATGAAATTAAAAGAAAAGGTTTTCATAACTAAATACATATATATATATATATGTATATATATATATATTCAAGGATTTAATCCGTGCCCAGGTTTGAATTGCGTTAAAAAGGTAAAATCACAAACTAACGCACAATTATTTTATTGCCAGTAGTCCTCCTACAGATTTATATATAACAAATATAAGGTTCTAGTCGGGAGCTCCCGACTAGGGGATACCCTGAACCCTCTTCTTCCAACATCAAATGCATATATATATATTCTATTTTAGAAGCTATATGTCAAGTTTGGTGACTCTAGCTCTTATTATTTACAAAAATTGCCCAAAAAACAGGATGTCGATATAGATTTTTATCGATTGCATGGAAACGGAGTAAGTTATCGATAATCGGAAACAAACTCGATCTGCGCGGGAACTAGGAGCATCTACATCTAAAATTTCAATCCAATTCAGGCAGAAGGAAGCATCTCCGACCCCATAAAGTATATATATTCTTGATCAGCGTCAACAGTCAAGTCGATCTAGCCATGTCCGTCTGTCTGTCCGTCCGAACGCAAGGATATTAGAAACTATAAGAGCTAGAGACTTGAAATTTTAGCTATAGGTCCTCCTAGTACCTGCGCAGATCGAGTTTGTTACCGACAATCGATAAAAATGATAATGATAATGATTTGGTAAATGAGCTAGAGTCACCAAACTTGACATGTAGCTTCTAGAATAGTATATATATTTGCATTTGTTGTTCGAAGAAGAGGGTTCAGGGTATCCCCTAGTCGGGAGCTCCCGACTAGAACCTCTTACTTGTTTTGAGATGGGTTAGTTTTTTTTCAACATTTTAAAACTACTTAATCCTTTCTGAGTTA